ACTTCAGCCATGGTTCAGTCGTGAGAGAATTATCGAAAGAAGAAAAAAACAAGTGGTTTTTTTTTGATAGACGGTACAGGCTTGTTCGATCAAAAGCGCTCGCCAAGATTAAAGAGGCTGAGTGCAAAGCTTGATGATGTCGAGGCCACAGATGAGAGACGTTGACAATCAATCAAAGATCTGGATAGGGAAGGGCAGTTAGAATAAACTCGCTGCAGAATTAAGCTATGGGTAGATGAAGTGCGAGAGAGAGAGGAAGAGCAAGGGGATCCGGCCTCTAGTGACGGAGAAGAGGTTGAGCGAGCATCTGTTGGTTGAGTGACAGCGTCAACTGTAACACGTGCACATGATGCGCTAGTCTTGTCGTCGAAGAGGGCCTGAATCTTTGCATGAAGCATGGACAGAAGAGAAAGCATTGTAGGTTGTGGCTCGCTTGAGGAGTGAATGTGAGAGTCGCGATGACTGAACTGAGCGTGAGAGAAAGACATGATGCGATGCCCCTGTGCTGATTCAGTCACTCTTTTATGAGGGATGAAAACAGCGAGCAAAAGAAAGATGCTGGGACGCGCAGGCACAAGAGTATATTTATGCGATGCTCGTGATGGCAGTCGACGTACAGTTGTGACTGTGAACTATGGTGGTATGATTTGTGTTGATGATTCAAAGCAAGCAAACAGTGAAGATGCTGCCACTTGGCAAGATGCATGCATGCATGCATTCATTTCATTTCTGTTGCGTTGCGTTGCATCGTCAATCCTCATTCCATGAGCGCAAATGCTTTGCAAAAGCCCATTTCTGAGTGCAGAGGGTCGAGTTGCATTGTTGCGTCGTCGTGCAGATCATTAAATCAAATGTATCGTGAAGTGAATGAGATGCATGAAAGCGACATACCTCCCAGATCATGTGCTTCGAGGCGTGATCGTGCGAGATCACGAGTTTTCTCGTCTCACGTGTTTGCCTTGGTGGGATCTACCTCGTGATATCGCGCGAGTCCCAGTTGATAAGTCGAAACAACTTCGCGTCTGTATGTAAATGAATGGAACCAGGACCAATACGCAGCAAAGGAATTTTAATTTGGAAAAAAGGAGGAGGAATAAATCTTGGGTTTCTGATACGCGTTCGGGTCCAGATAAAGACGCGAGGATCTTTATGTTACTAAAGGGGAAGAACGAGTCCTCTCCCGGACGAAAATGGGCGCTTCTTTGGCTGGACACGCAGCAGCTGGGAACTTGACGCTGGGAGTGAGCGAGTCGGGTCACGCGGCGGAGGAAGAGGGTGAACACGTGCAAGTGGGTGAGGCTGGTAAGATAAATAAGTCGACGCGAGTGAGAGGGGGGGAAGATGATTGCCTGAGGCCGAAATAAGTGGCCGAGATGGGAGAGGGCGACCAATAGGATGGTCAGGTGGGCCACATAAGCTCTGAGATGGGGGGGAAACCTAACAGGCAGACAAGGAACCTGGAAAGGGCGAAGGCGTTATGAATCAATGTGGAAAGTGCTAAGGTAGGGAGCTACCTAGTTGTATCTATTGCACCTGAGTAACTGTAGGTATGATATGAGATGAGTTCATACCTAGATCCTACCTGCCTTGCCTAGGTATGTATTCTCGGTTGCTTGCCTACCTTACCTATAAATAGGATCAAACCTCTTGCTTTATACAAGGTAAAATAGGTAGTACCTTGCTTGTGAGGAAGATTAAGCCAAGAATAGTACCTTACCTTGCAGAGTATCCGTACATCTCAACACTAAGGTACCTAACATACAATCTACGATAATAAGCCTGATCTTCTCTTGTCTTAACTTGATTGTCCCTCTCATTGTCAGCTTGCAATAGCTCTCCAAATGCGGAGAATCATTACACAGCACAGGCCAATTAGGGAACCCTCAGGGATAACAAACAATACTACACAATTACACCACACCACTAGAACATGAGGAGCCGGCATGTAATCACCTGATCCCATCCCACGTACATCACTTGACGCCGAGAGGTGAAACAGGTTGCGTCCTAAGATATCTGCGACAGATGATCCAACCTGGACTCGTCTGACACAGGAGCTGGCTCTAACTTAGGGACCCTAGGACCTCAGCAGGTTCAGCTCAATGTGCAATAGTTATGCTGTGAATCAAAACCCAAACTGTGTCAACACATTTACATAGTATGTACTGAGAGTCGGGAGTCACCTCACTCACAGCAATACTGGTATTGGCTATTTGGTTCCAATAATACACTCACTCATTTGCCTTTGAGCAAGGATAGTTCAGGTTGCACAGAAGAGGCGCTCGAGTATTGGAGTCAAGTCTGCAGTGCATATCCAATACGATCCCCAGACCTCTCAACTGTGAGATATCAGGTTCGATACCGTGTTTCTCCACCATGATCTACTTGTATGTATCTGCTTCATGCAGCCAGCCGATCTTGTGTTGAACAGACCACTGATAGTTCGCGGCATAAAAGGCATCTTGTCATACCAGATGCAGGCTGATGGTGAATACACAAGGTGGAGGTTGATATGCCAGCCTTGTATGGAGCATTTCCTCCGATTATTGTGGTCTTTATGGAGCAACCGATAACATTTGAATGAGAACCTACCCATACTCAGGCAGGAACGCAAATATCTGCGTAGAGATATGGCTAAATTCTCTGTTAATTCTATCCTTGATGCTCTCTCTCTCTCTCTCCCTCTTCGCTTACAGTGGGAATCACTCCCAAGACGGGGCCCCACATGCCCATGTTCCGAAGGCGGGACGGGGAGTGGGGGGGCTGCATGATGCACCATTTGCACCTGAGGAAGTACGTACCTACTTGTAGCTTCCATTGGAGAACCCACCCGCCTCATGACACAACCCACTTCACTTTGACTTCACCTCGCGATAACGACTTATCAATCACAATCATCGGAGCTTAATAAGCCTTACGCCTTCTACGGGCCCTACATGCAATAGTTTACTATCTGAGTGATCGATCTGTCCATTGCACAAGCAAAGATTCATAATGGGCGATCACGAAAGTTCCCAGATCAAACATAACGAGCATCTGTTGCTTGTAAGTCCGACTCAACCAAGCTTCCCATCACCGCCTCTCCATCATAACTGATAGTTGACATCAGGACCAACCTTTGCTTCGCCTCCCCTCCGAACTCCTCCGAAAGAACTTCCGCACGGCCCATTTCACGATCGAGAAAGACACAACCGCCATAAAGACATTACTCAAAGATTCAGCCACCGCTGCCGTCTCCGGCCGCGCATCACAGCAAGATGTCCTTCGTAACCTCGACGCAATGGTGTCCCGCATGCGAGGCTTGAAGCGCAAACTCCAAGCGAGCGCCGCCGAGGAGGGTCGTCTGCATGCACAAACAGCTGCCCGCATCTCACATCTCGACGAACTATACAAGATGGATACAGTGGAGGATGTTAAATACGAGCAATGGAGTAGGAAGAGGCTCGATCGCCTTTTAGCAGACTACCTGCTTCGTCATGGTTACAATGATACTGCAAAGGAGTTGGCCGAGCAGCGTGGTATTTCCGATCTCGTTGATATCGACACCTTCGTTGCTGCAAGCCGTATCAGGGATTCTCTTCTGAACCAGAGCGTGGCTGAGGCTTTGGCTTGGTGCAACGATAACAAGAAGGAGTTAAGGAAGATGGAGGTACGTTGCCTATTCCGAAAAGTCTCCTCGATATCCAGGTTCTAATTATTTGCAGAGTAAGCTCGAGTTCATGCTTCGCTTCCAGCAATATATTGAGCTGGTCCGCTCGCAATCCTCGGCCAAACTCACTGAAGCCATTGCTCACGCAAAGAAACATCTCATTCCTTACCGGGCCACATTTCCCCGCGAAGTACAGCAGGTCTGTGGCCTGCTTGCATTTCCTCCTGGTGGTGCATCCGCTGCCGCACCCTATGGAGATTTGTATAAGCCCTCCCGCTGGGCTGACCTTGCCGACCTCTTCACAACAACCCACAATCAACTCCTTGCTCTTCCTGCGGTCCCGCTCCTTCACGTCGCACTTTCTTCTGGTCTATCAGCCCTCAAAACACCTGCATGCCACACGGACCCAATGCACTCATCAGATAGCCCATCTGTCCAAAGCACATCGGATATCGCAGCAGCAGCCTCGAGTCTGGGCCACGGCGTTTGTCCCATTTGTTCCACTGAACTCAACGAGCTTGCCCGGAATGTACCGTACGCTCACCACACTCAGAGCCATGTAGAGCACGATCTCATGCTATTGCCTAATGGTAGCGTCTATGGGAGGGATCGGCTTGAAATACAGGCGAGGAAGAATAATCTGCCTTCCGATCAGGTTAAGGACCTCCGGACAGGCGATATCTTCCCAGCTGAGTCATTGAAGAAGGTTTATATCACATAAACAGCTCGTCGCTGGGGACCCACGATACGTAAAAGATCTTTCCGGCTCGAGATTGGCGTTTACTACATGAACAGGTGTTCCGGTTCTCTTCATATTGTACAATACAAAGTCACTGCGAGCCAGGGGCTTAGACATAGCGCTGCCATCCATTTTTGACCGGCATCATGCCATAGCACAACTTAAATTGGACAAAATAAACAACTTTGTGAAGCTCAAATTCAAAGGTGCCAACTCCTAAGGTAGTTAACCATACAATACAGTATACAACAGCGGCGCCGACACCAACTGGCACGTATGATCCCCGCCCAACCGCCCATCCCGGCCCTTTTTTCCCCCATTGGATTCCTGAAACTTCCGAAAGTCATTATATCAAAATCGTAAACCTAGGCAGAATGCATTGAAGCGGGAAGCAAAGAGCATGATAGCAAAGAGGTATGCTATCTCACTGGACAAACCCATTTCATGTAGAGAAGCCGATAACTATGCTTTTGGCATAATGAACGTTCATAACGAAAGAGGAATAGGTTGATGGTAAAGAGTAAAATGCAAGGCATAGAAAACATTAATACTATCGGCATAGTCCATAGCCCTCACCAGTGGGCTAACTAACAGCCCTTGGGAATGAGGCTCTTACCGGTTTCCGCCGAAAGCGAAGTTACCAAACACACCTCCTCCTCCACCAGGAGTCATAGGCCCAGTGTTGATGATGCCGTTCTGCCCTTGTGGTCCTGGGGTGGTGGCTAACGCAGCATTTGTCGTGTTAGGAGTGCTAGGTCCGTTGCCATTTGTTTGCCCATCGTTTCCGCTTTGCTGGTTCATCATCGACATGACAAGGCTCGCATTTGAGTCAGGGAAACCCAGGCCCCAGACCTTGCCAACATGCTCATCGGGGATATCACCGGCAAATATCTTATCGCGCATAGAGAAGAAGACCTTTCCGGTGAGTAACGAGTCAGAGCCTGCTTGGTGGGCAGAGCCAACACGCTTAATCTTGAGGGTTTCGGCAATGTTCTCAAGTCCTGATTTATGTTCAAACTTTTGCAGGATCTCAGTACTACTGGGATCGCTGGGTGTAAGAAGGCCGGAGTTGTGTAACCTGATGGCGTGCTTCATGAGGTGCTTCACATCGTACGTCGTGGGGAAATAGAGCTTCATCTTGTGGTCAAAGTCGACTTCGTCGTTGGGCAATGGTAAGCAGATAAGCAGCTTTGTCAGGTAGCCGAAATCGTAACCGCCATGGAATGATATCCACTTGACGTTGTCGAAGCAGACAAGACCTGAAGGGATCAGAAGGGAGGCAAACTCGTGAGGATCAATACCATCACGTTCGAGAGCATTGAAGTCGATCCCGGCTTGCTGAAGTGACTCGATCGATTTCTCGTTGTACATGTCGTCCTTTAATGAGAACTTAAAGTTAAATTGCCACGAACAAGGGAAAGGAGCATTAGTCGCTGCCCTTTGAGCGGCTGTGCCAAGCTTCAGATCGCTCGTGGGCCGTGGAGGGGGGGTCTCGCCGTCTTCGTTAAAGAAGGTGAGCCCTATTTGTATGACCCTCAGCATATCGACGTTGGTTCGTAGGCATTGATAGTGATAATCGCTCTTCCCTCTGAATCCTCCCATGGGCCTTGAAACGACACCTGGAAATTCGGTATCCTTTTCACACCCATAAATTAGCACATCTTCAAAAACGATGCTCGTTCCTCGAGCCTTACCATCGCAATGTAAGGATACTTGTCCACCAAGTCTCGCAATACTGCCATTTCTTCGTGCAAATTGTGCTTCCATACTTCCCGTATCCTGCCCTTGTTGGGATGTGCCCTGATCCCTGGGTGTTCCATCAACATGTTCTGGTGAACCTGCCCGTGCTGTGGTTGTTGTAGACCGGCTGTAGGGCCATGGAAACCCATTCTTGCGCTTTGACTACCAAACCCCGTATCCGCGAACCCCTGGCCATTGAGGCCGGCTGTCGTAAAAGCATTGCTATTGGCAGCAGAGAAGGGTCCCAGTTGTGTGTTGGCGTTCAGGTACTGGTTCCCGCCTAAATGTCCACCCTGTTGTTGGGCATGGGAGGGGAAGCCACCCTGGTGGTATGGTGCTGCCACAGCAGGCCCCCCGCCAAAACCCCTAAGCTGCGGTGGCGGCATGTGGTTCTTTCCAGGGAAGTGTTTGTTTCTGTTGAAGGGCTGTCTGGTACCAGTGCGTCGGCAGCGTTGGTGGAGGGGTTGCCAATGTCTGGCTCCTGAATGCAAATGCGATGAGTGCGGATGGTGATCGGCGGTAGTCCTCTGTGCTTGGTTTGATTGTGTGCCAGAACCTGAAGGTTCTGAATTCGAGATAGAACTCTCAGTCGCTGGATCGACCAAGGATGGCTTCTAACGGCCGAATGGTTTCTAACGCGACGATTTGAAGTGATACGTGTTACCTCGACTACCACGACCGTTGGTCATTGAGACAACGTGAGAGTATTGCCAAGATTACAAAGTATTTGCCTGATCTTTTCGAGTGGCTGCGATAGCGATAGATGTCGTCCAATGCTGTCGGTGGTATATGTGATTTCGTTTCGAATGGTGGAGAGGAGTGATGATAGAGATAAAGATATGCGCCGACTGGGTTCCTCGTCGAAGGTGATAGAAAGCTTCGCTAGTTACTCGGGGTCGGCCTCTTCCTTTCTGAGATTGTATAACAGGCGTCGAATGTCCCTTGGAAGGCGTAAAGTCTGAATAAGTCAATCGATGGCATAGAATACGTCCTCTAAACTCTGGAGGGCAGAGGTGAGGAGGGCGGGTGAATCAATTGGTCCGTGCGTCATATCGGAGGAACCAGTCAACTTTGATCCGATCCGTGCTTTACTGTAAGTACGTTCCAGCCCACTTCAGTTTAACCTACCTAACCTATACCTCAGTGACGGGGGGGAACATCAATCACTAAGGTCGAATTGACTCGCTCTCCATTCGCGCATTTCATTTGTCGTCAGATCCAACCACCACCAGAATCTCTCCTTCAGCCCACGATGCTTGCCACGAGGTACGGCGCACACTCACACAGCTGCTGTTATCTCAATTGGCGCTACCAATTGCTGAGAATGAACTCGGTTTGCTAATATATTCGCCATGTAGAGTGCTACGAGCCGCCGCCGGCGGTCCCAAGCCCAACATCACCGGCTTCAACATGCGGGCGTTCCAAGCATCAACCGGCCAGCCTCGATACGATCCCTGGGAGCGAAAGTCCGTACTCCCTTGCTGCCACGCCTGAACAAAATAGAGCCAATGTACTGACCCTCCTCTGCAGCGAGGCCTGGCGATACCAGGGTCCCTATAGCCGCTGGAACCGTCTCAAGGGCGGTTTCCCCGGTCTCGGTATCGCGACAGTCGCTTTCGCCGCATACTGCGGATACGAATACTTCTTCCTCGAGGACGAGCACCACCACGGCGAGGCGCATGGAGAAGAGCACCACTAGAGTGCATGGATACGACGGTTGAGGGAGCGGATTCAGCTGGAATGTAACTATCCGGAGGTGAGAAGTTTTGTACATATACCTCCCACGGCGAGGACGGTGTTTGATCAGATTATGGAACCATCAATCAAAAGAATATCAAAACAAGAAGCGGAAGGACTGAGCTTTATGACTTTATCATGATCTTTTTTTGCTGTGGTATTGGAATCAACTGGAAAGCCAATACATCAAAGGGGTCAAGAACCTTTTCACTGGATAGGCAACATGCCTTGTTAGCGACACATGTTTTCCAGGTCTTTCTTTTTTTTGCCAAAGTGCAATGATTATCAGTGTGGATGGTATGAAGACCACTGGTGTATATGCTCACCCTCCCAATTATCGGGTCGATTGCTCAGTCACTTGCAAAGCTTAGGTGTGCTTTGTGTCACAACGAACGAAGCAGAATGCACTTGAGAAGATATAAACATCTCGAGTCTTAACCAATCTGTGAATATATATGCAATGAGCCGAATTTCAAGACAGGTAGACCCGGTTCAATGACCACGCTCAGGAAATGATTGATCAAGATATCAAATTGATTCAATTTGGTAGTCCAAACCAAGGTAAAAAAAGTATCCCACAAGACTATCCTGTCTCTATGCTAACGAAGGTAAAATTGGTCTTCAGACCCTATGCAGAATGGTATCAAATGCCCAGAAACGCCACCGTATATCCATTTCGGCTATAGCCCACAACTCCAATAAAAGAATAAACAACGGCCATCCGAGGCCACGGAAGACGGTACCTTGTAATCATAACGCCATTTTCCCGATGTGATAATGCAGCAGCCGAGTACCCATCAAGGGTCTCGGGTTAGGTCATCATGGTTCGGGTCGCAGCTCAAGACTGTCTCATAAGCCGAGACCATTGACAGCATCGAGGGCGCCCTCCACCGCTGTTTCCAACTCTTCCACTCTGACCTTCAGCCCCTTGTTCTCGTCCTTGAGAAGACTGACAGTATCCCAAGCCATACTGGCGGTTTGCCCTTGGCAGTTGAGGCAAGTCGCGGGCGCAAGCTTAGGCTTGTCGCTGGATATGCCCCGTATGAGTTTTTGAAACGCGCCCATTTGAGCGTTGTTGGTGTTTCTTGCGGCAGCACTACCAGCGGCACGAGGAGGCTCCAGTGTAACGTGCTTAGGTTGAGCAACAGGGTTGATCTCAGATATGCTGGTACATATTGTTGGGCTGCGGGATCGCGAGAAGACACTGGCCTCATCTACGCTCTCATCATCAGATGAGGTGGAAGTGCTCTTGCGCCAGCGTTTTAGTCGATCCTCATCGACGCCCAGATCTTCTGATACGATCGAAGCTGCTGAGGTGATGTTCTCTTTCTCGCCATTAGTCGCCTCATCTGCCCGGTCCTTTTCATTTGCCAAGCGGTTGAGCAAGTACTCGATCATGGCATCTCGCTCTGCCATGAGGGTAGCCTGTTCCTCAAGTTGCTTCTCGAGCTGTTGGATCCTGGTTTCAGATTCACTCTTGTCGAAATTTTGAATATCACGCTCAGCCTGGAGCTCCCTAAATTCCGTTGTGCGTTGCTCATAAGCAGCCTGGAACTTGCTCAGCAGACCAGTGGCGTTCATCTGCAGGTTTTTGAAAGCGGATGGCGAGAAAGCTGTGCCCTCGACAGGAAGGCCGTTGGGGAAAAGACCCTTTTCGATGTCGAGATTCATGAGGGCCTCATTTTGTTCCTCCGAGGGACATGCAGTAGGTGAAGAAGTAAGGGAACCGAAAAAGTTGAAACGAGAAGAAGTTGGCGTGGATGGCTTGGCCGATGATGTACTGCGTCGTCGAGGTTCTGGGGCGGTTGTGGATAAGGGCGAAGGTGCATTAGATCGGGAGAACCAGGTTGAGAAGCCGTTTCGGGGAGATTCCTCTACAACAGCAGGCAGACTTGGCCGAGTTTTGGAGGCAGCAGGCCTCTTGTCGCCGGTGAACGACATGTCGACAGAAAGCGGTCTAGGCTGGTCGCTGGAGATCTTGTAGAGCTGCGATTCAATGTCCAAGTTGTGGTCGGCTAAGTTGATGGAGTGGCGCAGAGGTGACTGAAGTTTAGGAGAAGTAGGTTCTACATGAAGACCGGGATCGCGGGTTCGAACAGAGGAGCTGGGAGGATGATGAGCTGTCGTAGGAGGTGTTACTGAGAGAGGAGCCAGAGGAGGAGTTGAATGGGGAGTCGACTGAGAAGCGCTGGGTGTCTGGAGAGCCGCGGGGGAAAGGCGGAGGGAGGTTGTTTCTGATAGATTGTTGTTTCTGGGTTTGTTTGTCACAGCAGCTCGCCTCCGGGCGGTCGAGGCGCGAACACTGGAGCCATACGACGCTTGGGAGCTCGGCCCCGTTAGACGCGAATGATATTCGATGGGAAACTGTCCATGCTCCTCCTCGGCAGCTCGATCCTCAACGAGCCCCTGGGGATCCAGAGGCTGCATAATCGCCTAATGTTTCGGTTCCAAGGGGTTTGGGAGATTTGACGGAACAGGGGTCCAGAGAAAGGAACCCAGTTTGACAAGCGCTAGAAGAACGCTAGTAGCGGCGATCGTATTGATATATATTGGGTGTAATAGCTGAGGTGCTTCAAATCGATTGTGTCGAGGGAGAGCAGTCAAGAAGAGAGTTGGCGGTGGTTTATGGCGGGCGAGGAGGCCATAGATATTAACCTTGACACCACAGTTTGCTGCGCGTGGCCGGGTTCGGCTGAGGAGGAGCCGACTATGCAGTGACACCTAAGAAACCAGACCCTACAGTAAGTACCATACACCTCCTCCACTCTGCGGATAGTTAGTTAGACGGACGGACGGGTATGGTTGGGCAACTTGGGATATGCTTCTGATGGTGGATTTGTTTGGAGAGAATTGAGTGGTCGAGGTATTTGAGGGGTCCTTTAGTGGCCAACAAACTTGTACCAATGGGGTAATCCTGCAGCCCCAGATTGACACAGCTCCAAAAGACTATCAGGTCCATCTATAAAATATGACCGTATCTGCATTTCTGAAAAAGACGTTCCAATTGTCTTTGAAACCCTTTCCGGAAAAAAACACTGCAAAATGTCGTCTGGTAGTGTCTCACTACCAACAGTTGGCGAGCAAGCCAGCCAAGCTTGGTAACGCCCTAGCGTTGATCCCTGAATGCTGTGGAATGCAGAGCCACGCCACTGTCTCTAATGGCACTTTACAATTATTGTGGGCTTGACTTGACGTAGCTGGAGGTTGGACATGATGTATTACGTTCCATTGTTAGCAGAGTCATGAATGACATATTCATGACAATGGTTGATCGGGGGATCTTGACTCAATATTGCTCTTGTGTGGAAACCCCTCGTTGTCGAGTCGAGTCCCTCCCTGAAACTGAGTCCATTATAATCAATCATGGTCACAAGATAAGGCACTGAAGGATCAATGCAACCAACCTTACCCATATAAATCATGCAGTATCACTATCACCTGCATAGCACTACTGCATAAAGGAGCCCTTCCCGAACGGCTCCAACGTATGTACATACAGTGTGTCCCCACACGCCTTTGTCTCTGTCTTTGTCCGTGTCTCGTCTTCCTCCACTGTCTGGCCTGTCGTTCTAGGCTGTCCTACGCGGGCGGAGAAATGCAAAAGCAAAGTTTCTACCTTAATCTAGGTTCGTAGGGCCATCTCAAGCTTTTCCACGCATTTTCGCCCACAAGCCCACAAGCCCGGTCAAACTCAGACCACTTCTTGGCGAGTCCAGGCCGTTCCCTTGTCCGTCTGGTTCCTTAGATTCATCCTAGAACAGGAACAGACTTTCGCGCCGGCACGTTGGTCAACTCGATTGCCACGATCTATAGCGCCTTGTGGCTGCACAAGATCAAGAAACCCCGGAAGAGATCTCCCTTCGATTTTGCAAGACCATTGATGATGACCGTCGTGTGTCACTTTCACTACCTATAGTGGAAACTTGGATACACATCACGTATGCTCCCTGATTGTTGTACTGGACATTCTTTTATAGCAATATTCGAAAGATGCCATGTTTGCTTACCCAAACAGTGGTAGCAATCCTACCTGGCAGTAGGTACAATAGGTACAGTAGGCAGGGCGACATGGACGATAAACTATGGCGTCAAGTTGCCTCCCCAGCTTCTCAAAGTTGTGGAGTTTGTAAACACAGTCTAGGCCTAGGGAGTAAACAGAATTTATCTAGACTGCCTGATGTTTCGGCCGCTTTAGGATGAACGGTGTTGGCGACTATCTACCACACAAATTCCGGCTCTTTCAGCTGGATTATTTTGACAACTGAGAGCTCCTCGTGTCGTTTATATTTATACAGACTACCTACCTATCGTCACAATCCCACGCACCGACCTTGCTAGAACAGCTTCAATAGCCTAAATAGCGGTTCTACCATCTTGGTCATTGTCCTTGTTTGCGGGAACAAACACCAATCTCTAGATTCATTTGCCTTGCTTCGGTTTGCAGACTGGTAGACATGCTATAGAACTTCCCTAGTAGCCGATCCAAACTACTGACGCAACGACCTAGAGTTGGTTCTTTGAACTTGTGCCTACAAAGTCTCAACCTCCAACGTCATAATGGACTTACTCACTAAGAACTTTCATTGCCTAGGGGTGGAAGAGAACTTGGGGCCTTCTAGTTAATATATCGTAATATATTTCTTCAAAGTCTAATAGATCCTAGACAACAAAAAGACTTAGGTAACTTAGTATAAGTTGAGGATACCCTTTAAACATCAAATTTTGATCCCATGATAAAAAGACTTGGGTAAATTGAGGTGAGACTTGGCTGGCCTCTAGAATACTTTACTATTTTTGATACATCTGAAGTTTTCCTGCTCCCTGAGGCCTGTCTACTGACTTAAAAGACTTCACGGCTCCATGATCACAAGAACCATCATACTGAGAGGACAAGAAAAGTATACTCGAATAAACTCTCTACCATCTACTGGTATAAAGATACTTGCAGCCTGCATTGACCATACGCCCAACCGATCTATAATAATGATAACAGCAAACCAATCTCCTGACCTCAAAAGATCCACACAACCATCACCAGTTTTTTCTCTGAGTTGTTCAACGGTTGGCAATTATACCTGGCTAGTTCGGCCACTGTTGGGGCCAGTAGGTGCATCCCAGTCCTTTGGTGTGTCCAGGGCCGCAGCCAGCAAAGTGATGAAGATGCCGAGCAACCTGGGGATATGGTCAGTAATTGCAGACCCCTACACGGCCGTAATCACACTTACAGGTTTAAATGTGCCATAATCGCTCCTCCCCTGCCCAGGGGCCAGTAGAAAGTCACGAAGGGTAAGAAAAATGTGCCAGCATGCGCGTAGGTGAGGTAGAAGATGACCAAGAATACGGAGGTTGCCGCGCCTATAACCCGGAAAACGTAGCGAGCAACGCGGTGATTGAAGGACCGATTCTTGGTGAAGAGGCGAAGGATGGCGATGGAGGTAATGACCCATGTGATACCAGCGAGAGCAGCGAGGAGCACGTATGGTCGTGCTGAAATATCCACAAGATTGATTGAATTGCTCACGGCACGAGGTTTGATTGCCCCAGAGACAGTGCCAGATTGAAGCTGATCTGGGAAAGGAATAGGCCATGGTGGAGTGGGAGTGGGATAGGTCTCGGTTTGGGGCTCGGGGTCCTCATCTTCTAAGGCCCAGTATTGGCCAGCAGCGACCATGGATAGGATAAGTGTAAGGAAATTGGATAAGGCGAAGAGGGATAGGAGAGCCAGAAGGATGATGCCGCCTGCACGGCCAGCACGTTTGGGTTGATTCATCATTATAAAGAACAGAAAAAGTGTAGTGATGTCGGGTAAGTCTTGGGGACCAAGAAAGGGGGATGGCGATGATGATGATGATGATGAGAAGAAGAAGAAGAAGAAGAAGAAGAAGAAGAAGAAGAAGAAGAAGAAGAAGAAGAAGAAAGGCTCAGAGGGTGTCGAGTAAATGTGGTTTTAACAGTGATTCGATGCCTGTGCACCTTCCTTCATCTGATACGAATAGGAGATAGATGGAGGCAGTTACACCGGGGGGGGCAGAATGGAAGTTGACACTCCCGTCCTGGATTGTTATCTGCAACTCCCTCAATAAGTAACTAACCGAGATACCTACCTTCCTGAGATACCTTACCATCACATACCTTATTGAATGGAAGGGACGGGAGGCACCACCTAAGACTGAGTTCTCCTCAACATTCTGGTTGTTGCATTAATACCTATCTGCATAAGGTAGGTAGCTACTGTTACGAGGCTCTGAAGTTTCTCGAATTGGATGCCTGTGGCCTTTATTTCTCCCGACGAAGCAAGAAATTCGCCCCAGGCAGGGTGTTTCTATTCTTTTGGAGTTGAGATATCTTGCTGCCTCCGACCACTTCCCTAGAGAACCTGCCTGCAAAGCTTGGGTTTAGGGCATTGGGGGTGATCGCGATGATGGAAGGTACACGAGGAGAAACTTTACCTTATAGGCAAGCAACAAACGCCTTTTGAAGGCAGCAACCTAAGTTAAGGTGCCGACTAATATACCAGATCGAGCACCTGCTATGGCAGGCAGTTTTAATCACGTGTGAAAAGACACGTAGGTATGGTAAGCTCAACATCAGTCTGTAGAGTGCTATGTAGAACATGTAGATGCGACTCAGTGCGAAATGCTTAGATAGGCCAAACAAGCAAAAAGCTCTCAGTAGATAATGATCAGCTCTAACGGGTATATTGCCATAATTCCTTAAAATTCAAAGCCAAAGACCTGGATATATTGCATCTCCGTCTATGCATATCTTACAAACCATCTCAGCGCAACTCAACCGAAGGAAAGTAGCGAGGTCCTGCAAAACCTCGTGCCAAGACAGACTGTATATCAATATTGCTCGTGGGGTCGTGGTGGGAGCTCCACATCTTGAGGAGTATAAATCGACCTGATATCGGGGGGTCGAAGCGAATTGTGCATTTGCTCTTTTTCTTCTCTATGTTGAAACGGGCATGTGGAGAGAGCAGTTGACCACCGCCAACGGCTCGAACGGCGTCTTGCGTAGCAGAGGCGTGAGCTTCCCAAGCTTCTGTTAGGGAGAAAGATCGGTTGGAGCGATCGTAATTGTGTTCCCGGTCCCGGTCACGATTCCGCTCTCTTTCTCTTTCCCTCTCTCTTTCGCGGCGCCGCGAAGATGGAGGATCAAATCCTGGGCCGCTAGTGTTGGCAGCACTACTGTAGAGGCGCCAGTGGGAGGGATGGTGGTCGTCCAGGTATTCGGGATCAAAGGGGTTACCGCCATCATCGGAATCAGAGTCGAGGGTTTCGAAGGGGAGTGAGCCGATGCGATTCGGCGGATGGCGTAGGAAACGGGGGCCATCAAAGTCATCGTCTTCGTCGTCGCTGCACTCAGTAGTGACTTGAAAGTCAGGCAGGTTGGAAGCGAACTCTTCAGGCATCTGTGGTGTCCGTGGTTCGTAATCATCGGCGTTGGTACGGTAGGGGTATGCTGGCCGAGACCTCGTGGTCGTAGTGCCATTCTCATGATGCTGTACTGATATTATTTCAGTTGGGATGGGCTGAAGGACTCTCGAGTCCCCATCAAGAGTTGGTTCATTCGTTGGCTGGGCGTATTGTATTTGGTACTGGGCTGTTCGGTTGAGCACTTCGTCTTGCTTCATAGCCACAAAGACCATTCCCTCTCTCACGCTGTTGCAGGATTAGCCAAGTTGTCCGAATCATACCGTGATGCATGGGACAACATACGGATGTGAATAGTTGGACGATGCAGGCGCCTTTATGACCAGCTCCTGGAGAGTAAAAACGGAGCCCCCTTGATGTCTCAACACTATGTTGCATCTGTTTCCCTTTGTGCAATACACCGAGTTGTCGTTTTTGAGGATATTCTCAGCGGCATATGATAACTCATTAGAGAACATACCCCCATCACAGCTGACGATCTCCATCTTGAGGTCTCCTTGCTCGACCTGGCCATACTTGCCATAACGAAAGCCTCTTAAGGCTGGCGCGAGACGATCAGAATCCAGCTTTCGGCGCTTGTGCCGTCGATTCGAGTCAGGGAGGTCTGAGGGACGGAGTGAAGGAGAGAAGTTGGGCGGCATGAGCGGAGGAGTCAGGCTTGGGTGGTGCTGGAGATCGAGAAGGGCCCGCAGGTGCGAGTTGGCTTCCTCGAGGTGTCGATCGAGGTCCTCGAGATTGGAGGATCTGGTGTTCTCGGTGGTGGCGGCAACAGCCCGCATGCGGTCAGTACGTCGAGAAGTCGGCCAGCCGTCGTCCATGGGCCGCTCGAAGTCGTCAAAACCGGAGCCGGGACCCGGCGCTCTGTTCTCCAGGTTCCGGATGCGGTCGGCGCGGCGTGAAGCGGCTGACCAGTGCCGGGACTGAGGGCGGTTGGAAGAAGTCGGCGAGGGGCTGTCTCGGTCACGATCTCGCTGGGCGTGTGCGAGGGCTCTGAGAGAAGGCAGTCGAGGCGGTATGGGAAGCGGTGGAAAGTCGTCGAGGGGTTCTCGAGAATGGCGACGGTGGGAGTTTGAACCCGACCGGCCAGACATTTTGTATGTAGACGTATGTAGGTATGAATTAACGGCGGGACTGGGGGGTTTCACTAGTCGGTGGGCGGTTATGGCTATGGATATGGCTCTGACTGTGACTGTGACTGTGGATGTGGATGTGAGTTATGACGTGGGGTTGAACTGAAGCGAAGCGAAGAGGCTAGACTAGAGGGATGGCCGCTGATGGTCCCGTCTTTTTGTCAGATGAGATGTGGCCGAAATAGCAATGATGATGATTTGAAGAGTGGTCGTTAATCATTGTCGTCCAAGGGGACGGCAGTCAAGCAGTATTGGCGCACGGTACACCTGGCTCTCCAGGAGTAAGGTCGTTGGTCTCGTCGTGATTTGAGTGAGAAGAACCCCCGAATCACAGCCTGATTTTGGTGTCTTCTCGCTGGCGACAATCAATGGTTGAACAACAGGCTAGGGATTGGATACTGTGCGAATGACTCTGCCGTGGGGGGGGTTTTAAGTCAGTCAACCATTGGCCTCTGCGTTTCGCTGAGCCGCCCTACCTGTCATTTCATGCCCATCCTGGACACAGGTAAGAAATACAGGTATTATGCGTCTTTTTTCTGTATCTGTTCTCTCTACCTTGCAGTTTTTCTGCTGCTGCCAAGGTTGTCTTTCGGCCAAAGGTCAGGCGTACCACGGCACATGAGCCGTGACTCTGAGTAAAAGTCGCCGTTCTTTGGCGGGGGCGAGCGGAGAGACGGCGTGGTAGTAGAGGCGCCGGTAGAGACGGATATTCGTTGATAGCTCAACTTGGCGGTAGCGGTGTGATATCTGCAGCAAGTATTGAGTGAAATACCTTACGGGAAGCCCTAATTACGAAGGGAAAAAAGGAACAGATCTGTTGTAAATTGTGAGAGGTGACAGAGCCATGGCTGGGCTGGGCTGGGCCGACGGACCTTTTGAGTCGTCCATGATGGGTGGTAGGGTATGGGGGATAAAGGCGGCAAAAGCCACATCAAGGGATAGCAGGCCACAGCTTTGAATCCCAGCACTGTATCCGTTCGCCCAGAGGTATCTGGGCTTGAGCAGAGGCTAGGTTCTTATGTGCACTGTACTCTGTAGTCAGTTTATAGTGAGAAACAAGAAACCCTGGCCTGGTGTTGCAACATGGCTGAACTCGTACCAATTATGTGTAACATTGTGCGAGTATCATGCTGTATTCAGCTATCAAGGCAAATGGTAGAGCGCTCAAACCCTCAAAGCAAATTGGCGATCTGTGAACTTTGAACGTCCTTATTAATCTCTGATGCTCAGGCACGTACCTTGCCTTGTGCATTCTTGGTTGTTCGTTGTACCGAATGTGTGAAGCATGCAACCAAGAAGTCGCATATTTCCCCATACGCCTTAGTACTTACCTATGAATACTGCAAAGTCTTTTTGGCGACGGGCATCTTCCTTTCAGTCTGGAAAGATACAGAAGAGGGAATATCTAGATACCTCGTATCATCCCCCTGCAGCCAGAGGTGTACATACGTGATATGCTTGCATCAAGTAGACTAAACGCAAGTCATGTCCATGCAACACCAACTTCTTGACCCAGTTAGTCTCATGCTCTCTATGAGGAAGGTCATGATATATTCAAAACCGTATAGTTTCTGTCTTACGTTTAGAAATCGTTCTTTATTTTTTATTTTCTTTTGCTTAGGTACTTACTACTAAGTAAGTCCGGTAAGTAAGTCTTTGCTGCCCTTGAGGGAGGGCGATTCTGGGGGATGTTTCATTAATTGCACGTGATATTCAGGGACCTTTTGTGCCTGCGATCTAGTTCCCGCCTGTCGGGACGAAATGATGTGGTTTCGATTCAACTAATAGCTCCGAGCTACTCCAAATATTCATCTAAAATGCAGTAAATGAGTGAAGTTTGTTTCACTTGCAGAGTATCTGGATAGGCACTTACAGAGGCATACTTTGTGTCCTTCACTGTAACTTCAGGCATCTCTACCTCTAAAATCTTGACGTTACCTGATTCTCGGGTCATCCATCCATCGCCTTACAGCAAACAGCAGCCTTGAAATTCCCCAGAGCGGTACAGTACCTACACTACAGTACAGAACGCAAGGGACCCATGTCGATCCCGCTAACAATATCATACAGCCAATCATTGTGGAGCTACCTACATAGTCCAGCTCACTCACTAACTTCCAGGTTTATAACCTCCTTGACGTGAAAGCCAACATTCGACCACTCAAGTTTGTGATAGGCATCTTCAGCCTCTTTCTAGCAATCAATCAAGCAAACAAGACAGGGCATACTCACCCGTGGTCCTCTCTCTGGTGGATGCTCGCGCCCGTAGATGAAAAGTGCTCTTGTTGACTGGGAGAAGCTGAATCTCACCCAGCAGGCTGGGCCTTTTCTATCACGCGTCTTCGCCTCGTCTCATTCATAACAAGCTCTCTACGATATCGCTCTTCGGCCTTTCAGCCTTGCGCTGCGATTAACCTCAATCTCGGCACTTTATTCGCCTGGCTACATCTCATTTACTCCACCCTCCGACTTCACCCCAAATCTATCCACGATGGACAACTCCAGCCAGGATCAAGGCCAGCCTCAAGCTGAGCCCCAAGCACAACATCTCCCGAATGCTTCAGCGCAAGGGGCCATTCCTCATACCGATGCTAGCGCTAATTTCATTGTCAACGGCAATGTTATCCCCCAAATACCAGAGAATCTCCTCAACCCAATGAACCCTCAGGCGCTGAGCATGTTGGCCGATCCCTCACTCATGGCTGATCCCTCCCTGATGGCCATGCAGATGCCTCTGGCTGACCCTTCATTCATGATGCAACCTGCCATGAGCTTACCGAATGGCCAGAATGGCTTCAGTCTTCCCGTCGCTCCTCCTACCACTGTCAGCGCTGGTAAGTTCTGCGCGCGCAAATCGTATCTCAACATATCTTTTCTAACATGCGCCAGATGAGGTCGCTCTGTACGACCGTCAGATTCGCCTCTGGGGCATGGCCGCACAGGCAAAGATCCAAAGCGCAAATATCCTTCTCATCACCATCAAGGCCCTCGCCAATGAAATCGCAAAGAACCTTGTCCTTGCTGGTGTCGGCTCTCTCACTCTCCTAGACAGTGCTACCGTCACCAAAGCAGATCGAGGCGCCCAATTCTTCATCCCTGATGGTGAAGATGTCATCGGACAGAACCGCGCTCAAGTAGCCAGCGCTGCTCTACAGAAGCTCAACCCTCGTGTTCGTGTTCACGTCGATACAGAAGGCGTCAAGACCAAGGGGCCAAGCTACTTTGCTGCCTATGATATTGTCATTGCCACTGATCTCGACCCTGAGTCTTTCAACATCATCAACACTGCCACACGCCTGAACTGCAAGGCCTTCTACGCTGCCGGTTGTCATGGCCTCTACGGTTTTATCTTCAGCGATCTTATCGAACACGACTATGTCATCCAGCGTGACCTCGGAAACATGCCCACTTCCCTTGGCCCAGAGTCTCGTACTCGCACTATCGTTGATGTCCAGACTCGAGAGGAGGGTCCCAAGACAATTGAGTCTGTCACCAAGCGCGAGCTCTACTCTACGTGGTTCCTCGCCAGTGACCTTGCTGTTCTTCCTACTGAGTACACCCAATCCAAGCGACGGCTCAAGAGTGTCACCCCCGCCCTTTCTTGTCTCCGTGCTCTCTGGGAGTTCATGCAGATCCAGAACGGCCGAGTCCCCAGCAATCGCGATGATCTTAAGCTGTTCACGCAGATCGCCACTCAGAAGCACAAGGCTCTCGGCCTGCCCAGTGAAACTCTCCGCCCAGAGTTTTTGCGCAGCTTCCTTCAGAACCTCGTTAGCGAAATCTCTCCTGTTGCCGCCATCCTCGGTGGTCAGCTTGCCCAGGACGTCATCAACGTTCTCGGGCAAACCCAGCAGCCTATTCAGAACATGATTGTCTTCGACGGCAACACCATGGAGGCACTCATGTACCCTCTGCACCCAGAAGGCTCACTCGGGGCATCACAACTCACAGATCATACTGTCCCCAACGGCGGTGCGCCTATGATTCTGGGTGGCATGGATGCTCTGCCTTTGGGTCTTGACCCAACTACCATGGCCACTCTACCTCACCATAATAACCCGATCATGATTCCTACTGGTCTCCCTCAGAACGGCAATCTTATTCCCATGCCCGACGGCTCCCTAGCCGATCCTACACAGCATTTCAATGCCGCAGGGCAGGTGCCTCAACAGCCTGTCCAAGGACACACGGCTCAGGTGACAGCTGAACAGACTACTCAGGAGACACCGGCAAACCCTGGTGCTTCGGAATCGAAAGATTAGACTAGCCATATCACCAAGATGCATCTAGAAGGACTTATCGCAGGATTTGAAAATTGGACAGGGCACTGGAGTGGGGTAACATTTCTCCCGTGCTATACTATAATTTGGGTCCGATCTCGAAAGTCAATAGAAGGCTCCAGCTAGGGGTCAGAAGGCTTGGGGATAGACGATACCTCTGTATACTAAATAAAACTACGCCGTACTCACGCATGACACGCAAGGGGCCCGGAAAGACTTGATGCAATAATGAATTATTCGTTTGTGCCTCCGGCCGAGCATCCCAGCTAGAATTCCGTGCTTAACATGTCACAATTGCGATCTCAGCACAGTCACTCGAGTATCACAAGCTTTCAGCTTATTGACTCTATTGTGCTCTACCAACATGGATAAGCAGACCTAGCTAATATATAATGGGGCATGATCGCGTTGCCCTGATGCTTTTGTATTCCTGTACCCTGCCAAAAAGAAAACCATGATTGCCTTGTCGACACCTCATTCTTCTCCTTGAGAGATGGGCATCGGCCCCTTTCATTGCATTCAAAGGGACTGCAAGCAAAAGCCATTTGTGAACCGCGTCCAATTCGCACTCCTTTCATATAGCAAAGCAGGAAGCCAGATGTCGAGAACAATGTCGCATGTAAAGTCAAAAGAACGCAATGCATATTATCTGCCCCTCTATATCCGGGGGCATGCTTGCCTAACGCCGCCGATGCGAATAAGAGAGGGACTATGCCCTCATCGAAAACGATTAAATCAGTATGTGGTAACCGACTTTTGGGGTATAAAGTATTGGGTATCGTAGCAGCTGAGCTGCGGTAGTAATATGAAAGAAACGGCGGGTGAACATTATCAGCTGTTGCTGAACATGACCGTGCTTCCCGAGGTGCAGAATTCTATTAGCAACTCTCGTCAGTGGTGTCAATGGTGATGACTTTTCGCTGACTCTTGGTGATTTGGACATCGTCAGAAGATTCGCCCTTAGCTCGAGGTTCTTTGGCGGATGATGATTTTCCCTTTGAGGTCGTAGACTCAACATCTTGATCACTCTTCTTGTTGGAAGTGCTGGAACGGACGATCTTGATCTTCGTCTTCGATGCAGTCTCCTTCGTCTTGGTGGCCTCGACAGTCTTGCTCTTACGCGACTGAGCCACTCTCGGCTTCTTCGCCGGCCCAGCTTTAGTTGCAATGGGTTCAGCCTCAGTTGTCTTGGGCTTCCTAGGGCGCAGTCGTCGCTTGAGCGAATTGTCATCCTCTTCAATCACCACAGCAACATCGTCATTCTTCTTAGATTTCTTAGCTGAAGGCTTAGCCGCGACAACATCATCGTCTGGCTGCGTGTCAGAATGCTTGCGTTTGTTCAGCTTCTCTGCCGTAGGTGGCACGCCGATAGCAGGCTCGACGAATCGGACGGACTTGTACGGCCGCGCAGGCTTAGCTTGCTCATCAGCCTTGGATGAAGAGTCGTCACCATTCTATCGCGAGTCTTCTCGATCTTGGCCAGGCTCGCCCCTTTCTTTGCCACTTCGCTTGCGTGTTTGGTTCACGCTCCACCCTCTGATCTGGGTCGGCCCAGAGCTGGGCAGAGCCGCGGCAGACCCAGTCTCCTTGTGGTCGTATGGAATGGTCTTCAATTCGGGCTTATTCGGCCACGCTCGGTGCGCGGGAACGGGGGCGGGTTGAAGCTTTCGATACTTGTTCCCAGCATCAGACGACCCTGAAGGGGTGGATCGATGACCATGGATCGAACTGGGAAGACCCTGAGGATTGTCTTGGGGGCTTTGAGCCATGTGAGAGGGCATAGGAGGGGGGTTCGCATACGTTGGAGATAGGACTTGATGGGCGTAGCCTTGATGAGGCGAGGTCATATAACCTTGCCCAGCAGTCTGCGGGTTTGGCAGAATTCGATCAGTCGCAATCGGCTGAAGCGGTGGTTGCCCATGTGGCTCGGGGCCAGGGTACCCTCGGTGATAAGAGCGAGGAGGACCAGGCGGGTAGTAAGAACCGGATGATCGTAAGCTAGGTTCCAACAGTGCCTCATCCTGAAGAGACTGGTTACGTCCTCGCGAAGGTCGCAGAGGGGGTAGAGGCTCGGCGCTGCCATTGTGAGAAAAAGGGATCCGCGCTGGGGGAGGAGCTGGTGATGAATAGTGAGACGATACTGGGCCTGGTGGTGGTCCCGGAGGTCCGGGAGGAGCATTTGAAGGTCCGGCGGGTGGTGGTCCCGGGGGAGGAGGTTGCGACCAGTACGCACGAGAGTAGCTCGGCTCGGGCGCACCATAGATACTCATACGGCGCGGAGAATACCCGGGATCGATAGGACGGCCGGCAGCCATGTGAGCATCACGGGGGTCTGTGTTGGGGTAGCTGCTATGTGACAGGTATGTCCCCTGATCCTGAACTGGAGGGCCCTGAGATGGATGGGGGGGAGGGTAATCCGGATGTCGTACTGGCGGATGCTGTGAAACATTGTGTTCCTGGATAGGTGGATAGGCCATGGGTTCTCCAGGATGACCATGCACTGGGCCGCTTGCTTGCATTGACATGTGCGCGCGGGGCTGGTGCATGTACCCTTGGGGAACCTCGACAGGGCTGGGATTGTATCGAGGGTCAATTGTGGCCTGGCTTGGGGTGACAGGCGGGAGCTCGTTAGTCTGGGAGACGGAGCTTCGGGGATCATGTTCCAGCATTCCATGAGAAGAAACGGGGTCAGGTACCATGCCGTTTGGCGCGGCATCACGGTAGGATGGTTGTTCCTGAGTACCATATGGCTCAAGCATAGAAGGCGCTGCTTCAGGGACAGATGCTGGCTCATAGCTCATCGCAAGTTCGGTTGCTGGAGCAGTGTCGTAGACTGGTTCGGTCTCTCGGATAGCAGCGGGTTCGTTGGAAGCGCTTACAACATTGCTCAAGATAGCCAAGTAATCGAGGCCAACGCTGGAACTGGTGTCGGACGTAGGAGCAGGAGCAGGCTTTGAGTCAGTGAAGACATCACGAATAGCGTCGTAGCGAGCTGGCTTCGGCGCAGGCTTGGGAGCCTTGTTCGATTCTTCAGTCTCAAGAAAAGCACCAGCATAGGCGAGGACGGCCAGGTTAGTGAATCCAGGCTCGGGTTGAGGGGCCTCGACGTCCTCTCCTTCGGGCTCTTGTTCCTCACTTTCTGGCTCTTGCGACTCAGAAGCGGCTCGGCTGACAATAGGTCTGGCTTCAAGCTCCTTGGCGGCAGTGCCCAAAGATCTGCTTCGCAAAACCTCATCAGAACGCACATATTCAGATATAGAGATCTCTTCAGGGTCGACCTCCTCAAGTTTGCAAAATCGTCTCATCGAAGCACCAATCTTGGCGCGGTACGGGTTATCATCTGAACGACGGTGATTGGTAGTCTTGAGGAATGAACGTGAAGCATGGGCAATCCGACCCGAAGGGTTGGCAATATAGACAACAGGCTTCCCTGGCATGACGTGTGGAGTCTTCTCTACCTCGGGAACAGGTGCATCTTTCATGATAACACCATACTTGGGGTGAACACCGAAGCGCTTGACTGCGTCTTGGTCAAAATCTTCGGGAACTGTGGTTGAAAAGTCGTAGCCATTGCACCAATGATCGACGTGAAGGCCATTGCTGTTAGGAGTGTTGAGGTACTTGCCACGCTTTGCATGTGTATGACCCTTGCTAGAGTCATTCGTGGAGTCCCTGAAGCCGATTTCCCAGTCATTGAACTCAAAGGTTTTGGGGCAGTAAAGGCGACTATTAATGCCCTTCTCTCGCATAGATGGCTTCTGGTTATATACGCGGTAGCCCCACTGATCTTCATCGCCCATGTTCTTTGGCAACGGGGGGCTTCTTTCACGAGCAGGCAATTTACTTTGTGCCCGAGCGGCAGCTGCAGGAGCGATGCCATTGACAAGAGCGGGAGGCTCTGGAGTTCCTGGTGCTGATTCCGACTCAGCTGGCGTGCCCTCAGGTGTGGCCTCGGCTTCAGCAGCGGAAGCGAGAAGACCCTTGGCAGGGGCGGGAGCAGCAAGAGATGCGCCATCGTCAGCGTTGCTTCTGGTGTTCTTCTTGGGAGTAGGTTGACCGTCTGGTTGGTCTTGGGCTCTGCGTTTGTTGACACCACGGCCACGTCCACGGCCCTTTGAAGAAGCGGTGGCCGCGGTTGGAATTGCAGCTGTAGCAGCCGCTTCGTTCTCGCGACCCTTTCGCCACATGGAAGTGCCTTGGACACGAGAAGGATAAGGGACGAGATGACCATCTTGGTAGCATTCGTAGATTCCAAATTCTTCGTCATAATGCTCATCACTGATGACCTTGTACTCATATTGATCATCGGCAATCTGCGTTGTGCGTGTCAGCTGTTGCGCCCCCAATTACCGTAATGGGTAAATAATCAATTAAAGTTGGGGAAAGCCAAGTGGTGAAAAAAGGTAGAGTAGAGACAGAAAGGTTTGAAGGAAAACTCTGACTTACATCGACGGGAAGGTTCTTGTCATACAAGGAATTGAGAATTCGAGCACGGTTCTCTTGTGATTCGTAGAACTGTTCTTCAATCTCATCAAGACCGTTCTGTGGGGGTTGGTTGTGTGAGTAAATTGCCAAGAGCCTCATAGTAATATCGGGTACGGGGACTGGGTCACGTCAGAGGAGAGCGACATACCTGGAATTCTTGCTCAGCGACGTAATTGTCGGCTTCATGCAGATGCTGGGCGAGCTCAAGGTCTCTGTCCAGACGACGCTTGTGCTCGGCGAGTTTGGCATCGAGGTTTGCTTGGAGCTCCTCCATGGCAGGTATGAATTCCTGGACAAGTTTATACTTGTCTGGATTTTGAAGAGCATCATCAATGGTGCGTTCAGCCAGCTCTTGCAGGGCAGGCTTCAGCGCGTGAGCAACAGCTTGATAATTTGCTTTGAGATGCCGTTGACGCTCATAAGCAGCCTGTACACGCGAATCGGCAAAGTTCTTTGCTCGGCCTCGTCGTGAGCCACCACGGCCAGCCTTTGCAGTAGCCGCCTTGGATAGAGCGGTTGTAGAGCCACCTCTGCCACCACCTCTACCTCGTCCACCACGACCTCTTCCACCGCGGCCACGGCCACGAGTGGAAGGTTCCCTTGCGGGAGAATCGTTCTCAGGCATGATGAGTACAATGGGTCATGTAGCTAGAGGTGAGGAGAAAAGGTAAATGGTGGTGTTGGTTACTAAGGTTGATGTGAGGTGAGGTAGAGCAAGGTAAAGTAAAGCAAAGTAGCGGGCCGGGTACCAGCTTTTTTCTGGAGGTTAAAGGTGTGAGAATGTGCCACGCGCCAGTGACAGGGGGAGTGAAGTACCTGGGTAGTCCTTGAGCAAGGTAATGAGAGAGAGAGAGAGAGAGTACGTGACTTTTGGCGCGATGAAAGAGCTTGTTCGTAGCAGAAACGCGGAGAACAAAGAGAGACAAGCAGCCGCGTGCGTTGAAGGAGAACGTTTATGAAGAACAAGGCGCGCTGTGTTGGAGGAGAAGGAAGATGATTACGGGCGTAGGATGAAAGTGAAGTGAAGTGACAGTGGAGGAATCTGAATCTGAATCTGAGAGACCGGGTCTGGAGGTGTGAGGTACGTATAGATCAGAAGTTTTTGCCTGCTGGCAGTGACCGCAAGTGCCACGCAACTACACCAGCAATACAGCAGCTGGAGCAAAAATTGACAGACCCGAGAGATTGGCCAGCTCGGTATCACGTAGGTGATGATGAGTAGCAGTGATCAGCTGGCGTGCCGAGTGGTTGAAGTCGTGAATATGAAGGAGGTTCTAATGTAATGAATGAGACGGAGAAGCACTTCGAGTCCCTTTTTTTCCCAATAATACCGGTCCCCCAGCAGCATGACCCAAACGGGTGAATCCAATGCGCCAAACAAGCCAATAAAAGCGGGGGTATATCTGTCTGCCACTGTAAGTGCGCTGCAGGCCGCTGTAGAGTCTGCTAAATGCCCTCAGAAATTATACACCCCTGATCATCGGAAATCCACCAGCCACGCCCATCGATTCCACTCTAAGCCGTTTCGGGCACTTCCAGGACACAATCGAGTCAAATGATTGGCCCGGTACCCTTGATTTTCCGTTCACCGCGGCTCCGTGACCCCTGTCAATGCTAGGTTTGGCATTCTGCAAGGAGCACTCCGGATTCTCTCGATATGAGTGAGGCTTGACCCCAGGTGAGGAACCGCAGATTTGGGTTTGTTTCCATTGTGAATAAGCACCTCAATGCCCGCATTGCATAATACCTACAGGTAGGTAGCCTACCTAATCTAGGTACAATGCAGGCGGAGATTCACCAAAAGACTTTTGTCATGCGGGTTAGCCAGAGGTATGTTCTATTCAATGCGACGCAAGACGCAGACAACAATGAACAACAGTGGATGATCAGGATTTTATGGATGTTCACGGCCCAGCCTAGCCATGGAGATAGATAATCGGCTGATGTTCAATGATTTGGACCCCCCTGGCCTATCATTCTTTCACTCGCACGAGATCGGGTTACTGAATCTTTTCGGAAGCGCGGGAACAATCGCAAGAGTTGCACTTGATACAGGGAAAACTGCTGCACCCACCACTCTCCGTCCGTACGTTTGTAACAGCTGTTCATCCTGTCACTTTGCTGTGGAGCCTTACAATTCTTGTTGACGGAAGACAAGGCATGGGCATTAGCATACGCCACCAGTTGTGACACAGTCTTCGGAGTTTCGGATGACCCACGATATTGTTATTGTCACTGTGTATACTATTGTACGTTATTTATGTACGATTTCTATTGTATTGACGTGATGCAACTGCTTGTCATTATCAATCCCCTGTTCGTCGCTTGTGGCACCGTCAGCTTGGTGTAAAAAGGCTTCCGATTGCAGCTCACCTAAGACGCCACGATCAATGTAGTGTCTTATATCTGGTCAACTATGTTTAATTATGTGAGTGTCCATAACTCTAGTGACTTACTGCATGCTATCCTAGATTATTGGAAGCTGTATGTCGTCCTTCAAGTTGGGTATTCCAAAGTTGAGGTGCTAAGCCAGTAGAATATACGTGTAAAAAACGTGACACTTGGAACGAAGAGACACACTAGACACACAGGATTCATAGATAATAAAACATATGCGAATTTTCCTCTAGAATCAAAATATCCCGCGTATTCCTATGCCGTGCTGTTAATTTCATCCAGAAACTCATTCTCATCCTTATCATCACTCACCCTAGACACTCATAATAAACTCATCTTCAGCCCCGCATTTTACAGACTCGCCTTGCACTGGAGTCAGCCCAACCCATGGAAGCTCCCGGGAACTAAACAAACGGTGCCGCTGCAGCGTCAACCAATCATATCACCCCACACAGAGATCTGGTACGTACCCGCAAGACAAAGAAAAAAAAGTAAGTTGCTTCAGGTTAATAAGGTAGATCGGCTTCAACCACGTGCATTCAATCGTGACGTGACGTCGCGACAGAGCCTCAACCTCCGAAATCACCATGGGCAAGAAACGGAAGCTGTCGCATCAGAATGCGCCCAATGCGCGTCCAAAGAAACTTATTCACCAGAACAAATCCGACCAGAAGAAACCGTCCAATGGCCCCGCGAAGAAGGGCAAAGGCAAGCAACAGCATCAGAGTGATGATGAGCCAACGATACCCTTTGAGCCTCACCACCGCATACTGCTTGTGGGCGAAGGCGATTTGAGTTTCGCAGCGTCTATCATTAAGCATCATGGATGTGCAAATGTTACTGCTACGGTTCTGGAGAAGGATGCAGAGGAATTACTGTCCAAGTACCCCCACGTCGAGGACAACATCGCCGTGATTCGCGGTGATGCTCCCAAGACCAACGAGGCCAACAGAGAAGACAAAGACACACCTGCCAAAGAATCGGAAGCAGGCGAAACTAGCCAAGGTAACCAGAACGAGGGCGAGGACACCAATGGCGAAAGCGACAGCGAGGAAGATGACTACTACGACTCAGACGACCCCGATGCACCACCAAGACCTAAGCGAAAACTCACTCCCAACAACAAGCTCCTCTACAACATCGACGCTACTAAGCTTCCTAATTCACTCATACGCGCTCGATTCGACCGCATCGTATTCAATTTCCCTCACGTTGGCGGAAAGTCCACTGACGTGAATCGCCAAGTTCGCCATAACCAGTCCCTTCTCGTTTCCTTCTTCGAGCGCGCCATTCCAGCGCTTGCGCCCGACGCTGCCATTGTCATCACACTATTCGAGGGTGAGCCATACACCCTCTGGAATGTCCGAGATCTCGCTCGCCATGCTGGCCTGCAAGTTGAGCGCAGTTTTCGCTTCCAGGCTCGCGCATACCCCGGATATAAACATGCACGAACGCTGGGCGTCGTTAGGAACTCGAAGGGTGAAGTGAGCGAAAGTGGATGGAAGGGTGAGGAGAGGGCATCGAGGAGTTTTGTGTTCAAAAGGAAAGAAGATATCGCTCCGGTGGTCGGAAAGAAGAGGCGGAAGGGTGACGATTCATCTGACGATGAGGACTGAATTGAGATGCTGCAACACGAATAGAAACAGCGTAATTGGAGTCTGGTGTTACAGGACAGCACATATAGAAATGCCAAGGGTATCTCAACCCCAAGCTTTCCGTTTTTATTCCCCAAGAGGGTGTTCCTACACCGGATGACCAACTGGATGGATTGCTTGCGTCGGAACGCGAATAATCGACCCATGATGAAGCACGATTCTCAGAAACACCAGAACGGTATGATATTAATATCAGGGATCAAGACAACCCCCAACGCCAAGAAATGCCTCTGCAGCTCGAATTGTCCGAGTAGCAAGCCCAATAGAATATGCGGCCAACTCTGCCCCCCCGGATTGCCCATTGAACACAGGGTCCAAAATATACAGGCTGTTCGCCGTTTATATAGTGATGGTACAGTGCGCCTGGTATTGGCCCTTTAACTCCCGAAATGCAAGTGTGATTATATGTCCCAACCAAGCTCCATTAGTGCTCCTATCCGTAGACTGCAGTGCCGGGGGCTCAGCAGATCCTGTTCTGCAACCCTTTTGCTCGTGCTTCAAGCTGACGTCTTCTGCGACCCAACCCCCCTAGCCTCGTGATTCAGGCGAGACAGCTCGTTGGAAACATCCTGTAAATCTTTTTCAGCGCCTCTAGTGGCGTCCGCCAGATCCTTCGTATTGTTGGCCTCGTCTTCAAGCCTCTGTGCCTCCTCGTTCTCCCTCATTAATGCCTCCTCCTGCTCACGAAGAGTCTGCTGTTCAGCATCAACAACACCTTCCATGGCTGATTGCGGAGGAGGCGGCGGAGGAGGAGGAGGGCTGGGCGCATCCAGTTCATCCTCTCTTAACCTCTTCATGTTTGGCCCATCGGTTGGAGATATCGAGAGCGGACCTTCTACTTCCAATTCCCTCTTCCTCTTACGCTCAGGGCTTCCCAGAGAACCACTGCCCTCATTATCCGACGCCGCGGCAGCATCAAGCCCATCACCTGGAGTCCCATTAACATTGACTAAAGATGTGCCCTCAAGCCCACCGGCAACGGAGCCAGTACTGATCCCTACAGCACTGGGGCCTTGGTCACCTTTCACCTGGGTATCTGCGTTTTCGCCCGCCCTTGGTTTCTGCTGATCACCGAATTTCTTAACAGCACGGTCTAAGAAGTCCTTGACGTACTGCTTCATTTTCCTCGCCTGCTTTTCACTTAGGGGTGCATTGGGGTCGCCGACCCGGTTGTTCTTATAGTCGGACGAGACAAGCTTCTTAGCTATCTCTTTACCAAAGCGCTTCAGCTCCTCCTTAGGAAGTTTGTGATGGAATTTGTCGAGGACATGTTTGATGTGGGGAAATACCTAGCCACCTGTTAGTAAAGAGAGTCCTTAGTAGAACTCGAATGCAACTAACCGTGTTTTCGTATATCTTCATTTGTTTTTCGACGGGAAGAGATCGCCATTTCTCCTCCTTCTCCTCCTTGGGTGGCGTGTCTGCCGTCTTGGGCGTCGAGACTGAAGTATGTTTAGGTGTTCCCTTCTCAGTGACCTGGGCGATAATACTCTGGATCGCCAATTGCTCCTTCATAGCCTTGGACGGTGCCTTGACAGCAGGTTCCGCTACAGGCTGGGTAGGTCGCTGCCATGTTGTGGTGCCTTGCTTGTTATAGAAATAAGTGTTTCCTGCAGCATCCTTGGCGGTGAACCATCCCTGAGGAAGCCCACCATTGAAGGGGGGCCTGCGAGGGCGTCCGCCGTTCTGGAAAAACGCGACGTTCCTTTGCGGCATGCTGTTTCGAGGACCTTTCGGCGCGTCAATGGTCTGTGGCGACGCTGTCTTTGAAGATTGCGCTGCCTCCTCGTCTCGACCTGCACCGCGTCGCTCCTCAAATGAGTTTGCAGCGGGTGCGTTGGGGTCAAACTTGCGCCGTCTGATTCTGTACGCCACCTCCAACTTACTCCACTCGTCGAGAAGGTATTTTGACTTCGAAGCCACGTCTTCGTGCTCGGATCGTGTCAGACCCTCGATGGTGGCCTCAATTTTGGAGTCCTGGATCTTGTTCCTTGTCAAGCGTGGGAACTTGTCGAGGATATCCAAAACCTGAAGGACGACGTTGTGGTCCTCGATAAAAGTGTTGAGTGTTGTTTTGAGAATTTGGTAAGCGTGCATACGCATAACACAGTGGATGACGCGCTCCTCGTCGCACCGCAGGATACGGTCCAGTAATTTCACCGCAATCCATTTCTCTTTGCATTGCATAAGAGCAGCCATGACCTTTCGCGCGTCGTCCTCGTTGAGACTGCGCGAAGGTATACTGTTGACATATTCCTCATCGTCCTCATCTGGCTTCTTCTTCCGAGGCTTCTTTGCCACGGAAGTATCCCAACCGTCACCTCCATCGATACCTAGAGCCTCGACAGTCGCGACAGGCAATTTGGTTGCTCGCTCAGTTTGTGTTTTGCCTCCAATGAATCCCACGCAATTGACTTCCCCGCAGTAGCAGGGTTGGGGGTCGGCACCATATCGGTCAACATTGTAGTTAAACACCAACTCTTCTCCGGACTGGATCTTGCGCGAGGCAAAAATGCCCATTCGGAGTTTGTCGCCAACCACCCACTTATCAACATAGCAGTTGGGGTTGCAAGAGTGATTGCAGAAGCGACCATAGTTGCCCTTTTTTGTTGCGTCCACAAACTCGCTCTTGTTTAGCGACATGAAGTAAAAATGCTTGATACCCTCTTCGTCGTATTGAATCATTCGACGGCGAAAGGTAGGCTCATTGATAACTTCGCCAATGTACTCAAAGACAAAGTCATTGGCTTGTAGATCAGAATCGGCACGGAGGCCGAAACCCTTCTTTTCGGTCTTGATGACAGAAACGTTGGCGTACTGCTTGCGCTGGAACCGCTGATTCTGGCACCCCCCTGCACAATTTCCAGCCTCAGCGCTACATTCCATTTTTGTCGCTCGGTTGATGCAGTCCGAGTCCTCGCCACATGCAATATTTTCGCCATTGTCTGCAGAGAAAAGTTAGCAAGGCACCAGACCACAAGGGCTCATTGTGGGCAACGTACGCCATTCTTCCCGACACTCGCAGTCCAAGGCGTCGTTATCTGTAGATCCAAGGTGCTTTGAGCCGTACAGGCAATCGGGGATGAGCTGAAAGAAATTACAAGATTCGGCGGTCATGTCGGGTAGGTGGTCGAAAAGGACGGGTTCGCGGCTGGCTGCCAACTTTTGAGAAGCCTTTCGAGAGAGCTTGGAGGGCCTGCTTGAGCTCGGTGTGTCTGCGCTTCCACTGCGCGACTTGACGCCATCGTGAGAACCGCTCGGCGATCGGGATTCTTCCTGGCCGCCATTCGTGATGGACATGGGAGTCCTCTCCTCCTGCTTCACCTGCGCGCCGTTTGTGCCCTCCTCAAGCTTGATTTCCTCCATTTTGCTAGTCGTATACTCGTCATCCTCCATTAGTACATCAGGAGCAAAAGCACAAAGGCCAGGTTTGGAGCGTGGTCTCGGGATCCAAGGTATCGAAGGTACTGGGCTGTCGCGAAGGAGCAGGACGTGTCGAGAGGTCAATGCGAACGCGAAGAATGACTCGTCCCAAGACAGCAAAAAGGGTGGAGTGTGAACGCGGAGTTGGTGGAGCGGGTAGACTATATCCCAGGCGCATCTACTGCAAGGCAACCTAGGGACCTTACGGGGGAACGAAGCAGAAAGTTAGAGGCGAGGCAAGGCAAGGCGAGAAGAGAGGCCCGAGAGAGGGTTACTTGATGTATGCAGGCCAAATCCGGGGTTAACGTTAAGCGGTCACGAGAAAAAGCGACGGAGCGAGACAAAGAAGCCAGGGCACATTGAGACCGTGCATCGACGATTACAAAAAGACAACGGGAGGGACAAAGCCAATTCGAGTCGAGAACAACTCAATCCGACCCAGGACAAACCAACCCCAAGGCAAAGCAAATAGCAAGCAAGCAGCATCCATCTTTTGTCGGAATTTTATGGCCCCGAGTGCCCGACGTAGTGGAAAAAAGGCCCGACCGAGGCAACTACAGCGCGCCATAATCGCTATTCCTCCAGTTGCGTGCAGCTCAGTAGTAAGCCACCGCCAAACAACCTTTAACCTACTATCCAATAGTTATCAGTGTTTACCTATATTTTCGCATCAATTCACACCGATTCTCGAGGCTTTAGGTCTCTGAGCGTCCTCAACGTGGACGACGTATCAAGGATGCGCCTCAGCAGCTCCTGGTAGTCCCAACCCAGGGCCTCTGCAGCCAACAAGGTGAGACTTGCTTGATCCTCGCGCCCAGGCCGACCAGGACCCGTCATGTTCTGCAAACAAACGTCTTTAGCCACGCCTTGAGCGCTTCGGGAAGGACAGGACAAACCGGTTTCATGTTCACGTCAAATAAGGCAAACTTGGAGTCGGCCGAGTCCTTGAATCTGCGGACATCAATTCGAATCGGCGCTGTCACCGCCAACGCTTGTGCCACCCTTTCGCATTCCTCTGCCACCTGTTTGTATGCGGCCTGGCTCCCCTCTGCGGCGGTTATCGCCCTTGAGTTTGCTGTGACTGCGACGGCGCCATTGTAGGGAGCAACGCCATTGATGTGGTTGAAACGGGTCACAACAGGCAATGCCCAGTAACTACCTCCTCTCGATGTAGGCGGCATAACCGTAACAGTCGCCTCTTCGCCGGCAAGATATTCTTCCACCATGATAGAGGGTGATTCTTTAAATAAGGCCTGTGCATGTTCAATGAGTTCCTTCAAGCTGCGACAGACACGAACGCCATGGCTGCCACGGCCACGTATAGGCTTTGCGACAATTGGAAAAGGGAGGTCAAGCTTCTCAAGAGTCCCTTGAGTGTCTTGGCTCTCGTTTAGGGTCCATGCTCGTGGCATAGTAAACCCGCCAAGTTTCCGCAGTAGATTGTTAACAAATTCTTTGTCGTCGTATCGCTCGACAATCAACGGGCCTTGCCCCACAACTTTAATATGGTCTTGATGCTCCGCGAGACGAGCCGATACTTGAAGAGGATGCGACGAGAAGAGGATCGTGTTGGCCCATATATGGCTTGCGCCCTTCTTGACAGCCTCTAGAGTACCATCCTCGGTATCGGGAAACGACCATCCAGCTTGTTCAATTGGTTTGGGAGCATTGTGAGGGCAGATGACATCGACGTTCGGTGATAGGCTCAAGTTGTAGGCGATATCGGCGCCGGAGTCCATGTAACCTGCGAACACAGTTAAGCAAACACAGTGAATTGGGCAAAGAAAGGATAAGTCCTCGAACCTCCGGGCTTCTTTGGTTTCTGAATCCCATCAATAACGGGAGGGTCGAGACTTTGGTAAAGCACAGCCACGCGAGCTCTTGATGCCGTGGACATTGAAGCTTTCAGGTTAATCAAGGACGAGCGATGACGAAATTGTCGGCCAGTTCCTGTTGTGAGAGATTGTATCACGTGCATGGAACTCGAGACAATGCGTTGCATGATTGAATTGGAGTATGATACTGATGGATTAGAACTAAGGACTCGAGAGAAGGAGAAGTTATTATATCGTGGAGCCTTTGATCTTGGATCTGCTCGTCGGAACCATCCGGGGGGCCATTCCATGGACGCAGATGGAGTAGTCCGTGATATTACCTACCTATACTGAATGTCCAGGCTTTATCAACGCCAATTGACGAGATCAATGAGCTTCATGAGCTGTTTAAATATTATTCCTATGAGTTCTGCTTCCTATGATGCAATTGATCTATCGGCATTATAGGCTGAACAACAATCATAACTCTTTTTCTTAGCTATTTCGAATAGGGCCCAGTCAGACGTTGCCAGCTCATTGTGCATTAATGCCTGTCTAGAAGATCAACGCCGTGGCTGGATCTGGTTATAAGAAGGAGATGCGCTCTCTTGTCTAAAGCGGTTGATTGATGCCCTGCTTGTTCCTTTTCTTATGCAATGATGAACTGTCACTCAAAATGAAGCAACTGGACTTGCATCAGATCCAATGCTGATGCTGAGACTCTACGTACCGACTGGCCTGGAGGGAGTCCAGGCCTTGACGAACAGTTGGCCAGTGCAACGCTGGCGAAATACGACGAGTCGACCACCAAATCAATGACCAGTCATTCTTGTCTTCGACAGCAACAAAGAGACAACAAACTCTTGAGAAGACCCTAATGAATGGCCTGAAACCAAGGACCCGTCGCCAACTGGCCAATAGGCCTCAGCCCATCTCGTGAGGTTCCAGAGATTTGCACCAACAGCCCTTGCCCAACCCTGACGGTAAATAGCCGGGCAACTCTTGATTAATAGTCGCTGACTTTGCCTTGCACAGGATACTGCACATCAAGTCAAAACCAGGCTGAGCTCATCGCTGGTTGGTGGCCACACATGCATCATGGGCATGGATGGAACAAGGACAAATACGGCACCAGCCGCATACGCGAGAAGCCAATGGAATATCGCCAAATCCATGTTGGTGTGTATCGATGGGCTGAGCCTGTGAGCACGGGACATGGACATGGACATGGACATGGAGTATGTAACTATTGTGTCTGCCGTCTACAGAGGGCCCCCTTCTCTTCGATAAGCCCCCTACTCCGAGTCAGGCGCCTCCAGGTTCTAGTGGGATTGGTCCTTTGAGTTCTCTTTAGACCCGTCCTGATGCACCTATTTTTTGTCCGAGGAGTGAGTGCTGCAGTGGTGCATCATGGCAGGGTCACAGTCATTAAAGAAACAGGGACCATGGACAAATTGGAGCTCTCCGAGTGAGACATTTAGAGGCCTCTCGACGCAATTACTCAATTCAATAAGCCTTTGGGTTGTCAGCTTGATTTGCCATGGATCCAACTTTGGTGGCAGTCATACTCACTCACAATCATATCAGATCAGCTCAGCGCCTCACTCGCAAACATGGATAGGAGGATTTCCAGATCCAGGAATCGGCTTAAGCTGTACCACGCAACACACGCACATGTACATGCACCGCGCATGCACAATCTCATTACATCCATCGCTGCGCATCTCATCTCATCTCATCAGGGGATAATGAGATGAATTGTGCTGGATCGCATTGCGTCTTGTGCATCGCTTTCTCGGCCACTCCCGTCCAATATCATGTGCAGCAGTTTTACAAACGGGCTGAGGCGGTACTTGAATATTGAGCAAACCGATTCATCTATTTGGTGGCTTCAGTCCGAATTAGGTACCTACCTTACCTACATTACCTAGTCGTTGTCTCTGTGCACCCTCTGTCTGCCTTATAGGAGGCATCCAGGGTCTGACACTGACACTGACGTTGAGTCTGTCATTATCTGTTTCTCGCCCGTTGGTCTACTTGCACCAGCATTGTCACCAAAACCTACCTACCTACTTACCTGCTGCCTATATTCACCACTGCGGTTCTTTTGATCTCAACATCGTCAGTGTGATCTGCCCTTCACTCAAACGAGCATCTCTTGTCAAGAGAATCTCCCCAAGCTTCACCTTTATTACTTCACAAGCTACCGAAACCAAGTCCTGCTCCGCTTTAGAATAGACCTGAGACTTTAAGAACCGGTCGAAAACACTCCATAAGGCGATCTCACTACACCAGGCAATAGCCTCTCGGAACCTGCAACTTTACCCAGGAATCAATAAGGCCTCTTCATTCTTTTCAATAGGTTCCAGCACAGAGAGTATCTCAGCCCAGACCTTGTGTTCCCGCATCTGGCTACAAGTAGCAATCTTCGCTTCTTCGTCCATCCGCTATCACATGTACCGCAGCATCTTGAGCGAGTCGCTTCCTTTCGTCGTACCCGACGTCTCCAAGCCAGTTGGCTGGGTCCATCGTTAGGCTATATCGTGGCCCTTAAATGCAATATATCACAAGATTCCACAAACTATTCTATTCTTTTAGCGTCTTGCCATCAACCTCCAATGAGTCTATCGACCGAAACGCCCAAAGACGACATTCGCTTTCTAAAGACTTCCGCAGAACGAGGATATAGTCCTCGATGGACTTTCAATTCTTCTCGTGGTTGAGATTTTATGAGAATTCACTTCAACATCTACTTTTGGGCCTTTTCCAAGCCTCATTCTCACCAGGATAGTTTTCAAAGGAAAGATATCAGCATGGAACCATTTAACGACCAGGAGAAGGTATATCTCGTCAAGCTAGCCTCCTGAAGTTCTTCAACTGACCAAACTCCAGCGACATCTCCTTGCCGAGATTATCAAGCACAGTCAATTAGATGTCCAATATTTGGAGAGTCTAGTCCGCCATATTGAGCCAAACTGGATGCAAATGCAACTCCCGAACGGTAAGTAGAATAGCCACTACCTCCAGACCCCCCCGAACTAAACATCCTTTATAGGTCGCAACATGGCTCAGTGTATGGAGACAGCTCAGAGCATGTACATAGGACAACGTGGGACAAAGCGGAAAGCTAGCGAAGAAGAATCGAGCACTCAGAACAACAACGACGGCCAACTTCACAGCAATCAGGCTCTGCCTCTTCTGTCTCAACATTCTCCAGCGCAGAACTCACCGGCAAACTTCCAACGCCAATCCGCTATGGCTACCGGGCCCCATTTGCAGCAACCTCAGCAACCTGAACAGCCTCTCAAGAAGAAAAAGGGCCGTCCAGCATATGCAGGTCGGGATGTGACCAGTCAGCGACCCTTCAATCCCCGTCCTATCGCTCCAAAGCCATCTGCACAAATTCTACAGAACCCTCACTCGGGCTTTCGCACTATTGCCCCGGCTCCTCAAGCTGTTCTTCCACCACGGCTCCCGGACTCGTTGCATAATGCATACAAAGGTCCAAGCCGCGTACTTCCTGTGGAGTTTCAAAACACTCACAGGAATTTGGATACTTTCCGACCTTCTATCAAACCGTCATCTGGGATGCTCCAGTCAAAGCAGACAGCAGGGATTTCAGACAACACATCGGTTGGTAATAGCGTTTCGTCTGTTGGGCGTCAGCTAATACTCTGGTAGCATGGAGAACATATGTCTAACCGCACGAGATCCCTTAGTGAAGCGGTACCGCGCGTGCAAAAACAAGAAGGTTCTCCAAACAATCGATCAAGCTCATTGCAACCGATGGGAACTGACGACCAAAGTCGCATAATACAAAGCAGAGCACCGGATGAGATGCAAGAAACGAACACAAAATCGGATAAGGAGACCGCGAATCGACATCAGAGAAAGACTTAGGAAGATGATACCAACATTTCTGAATGGGCAAACGAGGGAGAACAAGGAGCTTCACCGACTACTCGTGGGATAGTTCGTACGATAATGCTAGGCACGAATGTTAATGAGGACGATATAGACAGAGGCAATGATAAGAGAGCAGCTGGTTTGACTCTCAGGTAACCTGTAAAGCAGGGAGACTAATAGGCATGAACTTCAGGACATCTTCAAGACCGTATACGGGCACCAATAGACAGAATTCATAAACTAATGACAATCTTATCAAGTGAGACATAAACTTGCACTGCTTGCCTAAGCGCAATTACATAGATATAATTTGTATACTTGCCCGACATATGACAGCCTCAGAGGGCAAAGAATACTTGTGACCTTTGATGAAGGACGCGAAAAAAAACTCCTGCAAGAGACCTCTTGGGTTATGATAACTTACCTAAAGTCTGAAGACTTTTGTCCTGATGCCCCAAGTTTTTGCCTCCCTTGAGAAATAGACATCTGTCTGCTGATTGAAGAGGAAAGCATGTCACGACAAAAGATAGAATGCTCAAACAGATGCAAGAAAGTGTATGAAAAAGAGCAAGACGCTTATGTTGATTGCATTAACCCTCATTATCCTTGGCTTCATAACACCCAATCAAGTGTGCCCAGTCCATTCCAGATTTCGGCATCGAGATAAAAGAAATATCTGGATCTCCTAGGTCTTCGCTAAATACAATTCCTGATTTATTCAGAAAATCCCAAACTCCACTGTCCTTAAATGGTCATTTTGATATTCCTCTTGCATCCCCCTTTTACTGCTTAACAATCTTCTCAATTGTGTCCACAAGGATATCAGCGTGCTTCTGCTGGAAGATGAGCATAGGTCGCAGACGAACGGCGCTGGCGCCACTGCCACCGATGTTCACACCCAGTTTCTTGGCCTCTCCTAGGAACTGGTCACGCTTGGGGCTGTCGAAGGCAATGAATGTACCTTGACCCTTGCCACGCAGGTTCTCGATCTGACCGGGGTACTTCTTGCTAAGAGACTCGAGGTCCTTGAAGAGGCGATCACCAACTCGCGCGGTGTGGTTGACGAGGTCATTCTTGTTGATTTCGTCGACAATGGCCTTGAAGAGTATGGCACGAGCAGGGTCACCCATCCATGTGTTGAACTGTCTGTAAGGCTTGTTGGGGCGAATAGCAGGGT